AAAAAAAAAAAGAGGTCATAAATGTAATTGTCATTGTTTGTTTGTTTATTGGTCGTGGGGCTTGAACTCTAGGCCTGGGTACTCTTGAGCCACTGGTGCATGGCATAATTATTATTATTTTTTGATTGGGTGTGGGACTTGAATTCTGGGCCTGGGCGTTGTCCTTGAGCTCTTTAGCTCAAGGCAAGCATTCTACCATTTGAGCCACAGCACCACTTCTGGTTTTCTGGTGGTTTATTGGAGAGTCTTAGGCCTTTCCTGCCCGGGCTGGGGCTGGCTTTGAACTGGGATCCTTAGATCTCAGCCTCCTTTGGATTATAGGCGTGAGCCATTGGCACCTGACTGATTGTCATTTTTAAATTGTGTCTAGATTTACATTATATTTAGTTTGTAATGAGCTGTTTTTTTTTTTTTCCTTTCTGATTGTGTAGGATGAATTTGACAGATACAGTTTTTTAAATTGCCAGTCCTTAGGCTTGAACTCAGGGCCTGGGCACTGTCCCTGAGCTGCTTTTGCTCACAGCTAGCAGTCTACTACTTGAACCACAGCACCACTTCAGTCCTTTTCTGTGTACTGAGGAATCAAACCCAGGGCTTCGTACATGCTAACTACGCAAGTACTCTACTGCTAAGCCATATGCCCAGCCCTGACAGATAAACTTTTGTTCATTTATTTGGTTTCGTTACTAGGATTTGACTCAGGGCCTTGTACTGTGGCTTGGCTTTTTCCCCCCCTCAAAGCTGATGTTCTACTGCTTGAGCTACAGCTCTACTTCTGCTGTTTTAATAGCCAGCTCTCCCCTCCCTCCCTCCCTCCCTCCCTCCCTCCCTCCCTCCTTCTCCCCTCCCCATCTTTCCCATGTGCTAGATAAGTGTCTACCAATATTGCTATGTCCCAATCCTTTTGCTCTTTAGTTTGTTTCTCAAACTAGGTTTCATGGTAAGTTTACTTTAGCTAGCCTCCAGCCTTCATCCTCCTGTCCCACATAAGGTAGAGATAGAGTCTGGAAAAGTTGTTGCTTAAGCTGGCCATGAGCTTTTATATCCCATGTTCCTTTCATTTTCCTCCTCTGGAATAGCTGGCACACATTTTCTCATTCATTTTTAATATTTTAGATAGCTTCATTTTATACATCAGGCTGGCCTGGAACTCTCAATCTTTTTGCCTCAGTCTCTGTCATGCTAAGATTATAGATGTGTGCCACTATGCCAAATGGGTCTACATTTATAATCATGCCATTATTATTATTATTATTAGTAGTAGTAATAGTAGTAGTAGTAGTAGTAGTAGTAGTAGTAGTAGTCTGTTGTGGGGCTTGTATTCAGGGTTCTGTCCCTGAGCTTTTCTACCACTTTGAGCCATAGTGCCACTTCCTCTACATTTATACAAATGGTAAATGCTAGAACTTTAAAGGAAAAATACTTTCCTGTTTTATTCAAGTACTTAGTTTGGCATATAAAAATAAAACAGTTTAAAACAAGATTATGTGCAAATGCTTTAAGAAACTAACTTGATAAAAGTTCTTAATTATGTGTGTGCATGCATGTGAATACACTGTATTCAGGCCCCCTCATATTCCTCCTTGACTTTCTTGTTCATGGGTGGCACTCTACAACTTGTACCATGGCTCAAGTGTGGCATTTGCTGGGTAATTGGAGATAGAATATTTGAACTTAGGTTCTCTAGGTCTCAAGTCTTCTGAGGAATTGGGACTGTGGGTGTAAACCACCCCTGTGCCAGAGATTAATCTCTTTTTAAGATGTGAAAGTTGTGCTAGTAGTTTAAGAGGCAGGGATTGAGATGATCATGGCTTGAGGCTAGCCTAGGCTGAAAAGCATGCTAAACAAAGCCCCATTTTCACTGGATTGTTAGGCTTGGTGGGACAAATGTTACCCCAGGCTATATGGGTGGCTAAGATCAAGGTTGCAGTTGCAGGCCAGCCTGGGAAAAAAAGGTCCTTCCGGGGAGGGAAGCTAGGAGTAGTGTGCACCTCTCATTTTACTAACATTAAGAAGCTTGATAGGGCTGGGAAGGTAGCTCAGTGGTAGAGCGCATTCCTTGCATGCCTGAGACCCTGGGTTTGATTCCTCAGCACCACATAAGCAAAAAGAAAAAAGCCGGAAGTGGAGCTGTGTCTCAAGTGGTAGAGCGATAGCCTTGAGCTGAAGAGTTGAGGGACTGCGCCCAGGCCCAGAATTCTGGCCCCACGACAGGA